ATCTCACATTAATATGTCCGCAATCAAACATTGTCAATGAAATTTCAATCAGCAAATCAAGAGATAACAAAGTTTATTGAAATATTAGATGAATTAAAGAATACAAGAAAATAGATTTTATAAAGTGCTATCCAGATCGAGACGTACAATCAAAAGTTTTTTTTCACTTTTCTTTATTATTATGAGTCACGATTCTTTTTTCTGTTTGTTTTTTAATAGATTTTCTGTTCGAAGTCGCTTCTTCTTTTTCTTCTTCTGTTGATTTTTCTTCTTCCTCGTCGTTCTCAAAATTCAAAGCTTCTTCGAGAGAAAACTTTTTTCCATCGATTACTAATTTGTTTCCTTTGATAACGCAGCTATTGTACTTTCCTGACTTTTCCAATTTCAATCGATAATCTCTGAGATTTTTGTATTCGTTTCGCTGTGCTGGGGTTAAATCCTCAGAAATTGCAATTGGGCTTCCTTTTAGTTTATTTCCGTTGCCGAGAATTTCTCTTTTTTTGGCATACGAGATTAGTTCTATTTTCAATGGTGCTGATCTTGATTTTCCGAGAAGATAGAAATCAGAAATGTCTGTTTTTTCTATATTCACCTCAACCCGCTTTCCAATTTCCGAACAGATGAAGTCTGCAGAGATCTCTGTTGAAGGTTTATTTATTCCGAAGATGACTATATTTCGTTTGCGTGATGTTCTGTCCAGATTTTCAATTTCAGTCTTAAGCTTTTTATTCTCTTCTTCGAGCTGTTTAATTTTCAAAGTCTGCTCATTAATCTTATTCAATAATTTCTTCTCGGTGGAATCTATAGCACCCTTGAGATCATTTCTGGCTCCTTGAATTTCTTCCAGTATTCGTCTAGAACTCTCCTCTATAGCCTTTTTTATTGCTTCATTCATCATTGACATTCGATGTTAATTTTTACCGTGTGAGATCTCCTTAACTGAAGTAACTTTTTACTGGCGAATGAGTGACAAAAAATTATTGTTTTCAGTGTACCTGTCCAATTTATCAGCAAGCCCAGATGATTCAAACTCTAATTACTACTGAATAATCGAATGTAATACATACAGTTTTTATCTCAGGGTGCACTTTGTGTTCGTATACAGTTGTGCTATAACTTTCAAATAGGTTGTTGCACTTGTTTCACCGAATTTCTACACTTTTTTCAGGAGCACACATAAAACAGTTCGTTCTGCTTAGTTTTGATCGTTTTATCAATGAACCCCTGGGGTACGTCATGGTCCCAAAACGACGACTGCTCCAAACCAGCACCCAAGTTCGTAAAAGCCGTTAATTCAACTTGAGATCGTTGGGCATTCTGGGGTATCTGTTGAGCGAGAACCGACTCAACGATCTCTCTGCGCCACTCCCTATACTCTAAAGTGGCGCGCTGGATGGATTCCAACTCTCTGACTTGGGCCGCAGCCTCTTCTTGCATAGCCAGGAGTGGATCCGCCACCCCGCGGGCTGGACTGTCGGGCAGATTTATTGTTTCCTCGATTTCATCGAGGTTTTCTTGGCGCCCTGCGGCTAAAGGAGGCTCAAGAGGTAACTCAATACGTATTCAAGAACAACTGGTGAGTGACTTTATTTTTTTGTGCAATTTATAGGGTTCCAGTGAGGGGGCCACTATTCCTGATTGAACTTGATGTGGAAAGTAAAGAAGTAGCCATTTGCTTCCACATACAATATTGCTGTCTTGGGCAAGTGAAATCGGTAGCTCTCAACTCAACTCACCGTCTGTATTCTTCTGAGAAAACTGTAGAACTTGTAGTTTTTAGGAGTGCTGACTTATTCAAATTGCAAGTTTTGAAATGGTCTTCCAGGTCTATTGAATTATTAGTCGATACCATTTTATTTGAGCCCTCTGATCCGTTAATTTATGCAAGGACAATACTAATAAAATTGGGATTTTGAAGAGAATTTCAAAAACGTTCTTCCTGAAAGAAAAATATATTATGTGTTTTGTTCCTAAGGTAACGTGTAAGCGACAACGTGACGTCACTGCGGTGCGTTAACTGAGTTTGTTTTGCCTTTTTGTTGTTGTAAGTAAATTTATATCAAATGTTAAGGGGCAATCCTATCTTTGGTGTGAATTGATTATTTAGTAATTTGTACCGATACGCTTAACCTGTTTATTATTGTAATATAATTGTTAATCATCTTTATATCGTTCCGATTTGTCTGTTCATACCCAGTCATTCTGGGCAGTCTACTAGTCAAGACTGGCTCATTGATGAATAGTGATGCCTATTAAAATCAACTCAGGAAAATCTAATAAAATTGATCTCGTGGACCCACCCCGACCGACACTCGAGCTTGGGTACGAGTTCACGCACCTCAGCTATTAGACAGATGAACAAGGTACATAACACTATTTGAGTAGTGCGTAACACAATTTTGGCGCCCAACGTGGGGCCCTAAATGAGTTGAGAAGCTACAGGTTTTGTCTTAAATACTTATAGGTCATATGATGAAAAAAATATAAATTTGTATATGTGTATATATATTCTGTTGTGGAAGGTTGTGTCACTATTTTCAATAGAAGATTGGTTATCGTTGAATTGTTATTCACACACTGGCTCAAAATGGATGTCAATAGACTTTTGAAGGATGAGGTGAAGTATGAATTGCTTGTTAGAGGGTTCTCAGGGCTTCAGGCGGAAACTGTTACATCTATGCGGCGTCAGTTACAAGAAATTATCAGAACAGAAACATTCGGGGATATTGTTACAGATGCTGGCTTCAACCCGGTTCCGTTAGATGAAATTCAAATTATCACGAAAAAAACGGAAAGTTTAGAACAGTTCGTAGATAGTTGGCGTGATAGTGGCAAAAAAAAGGGAATGGAGTTGTTGATACGAAACTGAAACATTTGTATGGTAAAGTAAAACGACTCAGATTAGAAGATAAGCCTGAGAATAGAGTTCTTTGTAGCGCTGTTTCAAACATAATGGCTCGGCTTGAAGCCATAGAGGTAGACGCCGATAAAATTCAACAAGCACTTCAGATGGAGTTTTTGGCTCGTAGCAGGGGTGATGCATTCTCGCAACTATCCAGTGAACCTACTAACTCAAGCACTAGTACTATTATAACTAATATTCACAAACATCAATTTGAACCTAGGAAATGGGAAGTATCTGCTTTTTGGGAGATTGTTGAAGAGAAAAGGCGAGCAAGCAATATTTCTCATGGCGAACTTCTGACTTGTGTTAGCGATCTTTTACAGGGTGTCGCAGCCATTAGGTATCGTTCAGTTCAGAATGGAATTAAGTATTGAAAGGATTTTGAAAATTTGATAAGGGAACAATTTCAACCCTATAACTATGAACAAGAAATTTGGGCCGAGATCAAAAGTAGAACGCAGGGTCCAGAGGAGCGTTTAGGCATATATTTTGCTGTTATGGATAACCTGTTCTAACGCCTACCTACGATCCCTACAGAAGATCAAAGGCTGACCATTTTGCAGCAAAATATACACCCTTATTTCATTCATAATCTAGGTCTTGCCTCATATAGTACCGTTGAAGTATTATTGAAAGTTTGTAAGAAATTGGAGGATGATAGGGATATGGTGGGTAAATTTGAACCTTCTCCCACTCAACGAGATAATTTACTTGAGCCGGACTTGGCTTATCGGGGTGACTCTTGTATGAGTATCCCTGGTCCTTCTAGGAGGTTGATGGCATCGAAATAAGTTTTGGAATTGTCTAGAAGTTGAACATCGGTTCTCGACCTGTTCAAAAGTAGAAAGAAGAGATTTTGTTTCGGCTGCGGATGAGATGGCGTCATAAGAGCTCAGTGCCCAAAGTGTTCGTGAAACGGTCATGGCGACGAAGCTACCGGACGTCGCTCTACAGGCCAATCCCGGTAGATCTTCCATAGCCGATTTAGCTGAACACGGTTGAAACCGCTTTAAAAAAACCTGGAGTAGACTACCTTTCAAATGAAGAATCTGAAGATCCAAGACCTTATGTTAAAGTATATATTTTTTAAGTTTGGTTTGTGTATTTGTTAGATTCGGGTGCAGCCCAGACAGTTATGGGTCGACAGGGTTGGCGAAAACTGCAACAAAGGGGCATAATTACTTTGACTAACAAAACATCCGTTTCCGTCATGGTGGCAAATGGTGCTTCATGTAAGGCTATCGGCATTAATGATATCATAATCGAACAGTCAGCAGTTCTTTCGTATGGCAAGGGCGGCGTGGTATTCATACGAGGTCTACTCCTTATTTTTATGTGAGAGGTTTTATATGATATCAACTAGTAAATTTATCAGCACGGTACATTAGTATTTTATTCAGCTGTTCGGATTGACTTCGTGAATATTCGTTCGAACAATGCAGTGACATTACTACCAATAGACTGAATTTTTCTAACCACTTCAATAGTTCAGAAAGGACGCAGATAATTTCCATGGTACATGACAAACTTTCTTGACTGATTCAGAATAGTCATTCAACACTTGATCTATTTCAGTACCCAACTATCTTCATCTACAACACCGAATTACTGATTATTCAATAATTAGTAATACAACATTTGAGAGCTGTCATCGGACGCATGGCAGCTGTGAAACATCGAATTCATTTTGCATAAGTTATATACACAAAAAACAAATTATGACAGGATTTGATATGTCATAATGTAGAGTTCCTGATTCCATGTTGTTCACTCAATTAACATTATTTTCATTAAATACAAACATTCATTTCCAATAGTGAAAACTCAATTATTTTAATCAGTGACTTCAGTAATAATTATATTCGATGTAGCCTCTGACGTTATTACTGTGACAATTGGTAGATGATCACTGAAATATTGTTACGGTTTGAATTGTCCACCCCGTAACTTCAAAAACTGAATTGGTCCGATAAGCCGTTCGCCGTCCGCTCGCAGCTCGTTTAAGTGGAGAATTCGTTCCTTGAAAAGAAAAGGGTGTATGTGAAAGATGATATTAAATATAATCACACTGTGATAAGTATCGTTGGGTGCAGAACAATACAAACTGAGCTGAATATAGAGCATCATCCAATCCTTATTACTGCACTGTATAGATCTCCTTCTACAAAGGCAGAAGACTTTATCACCAAACTCAAAGAATATCTGAAAGAAACAAAGAATCATAATTAAGATAATCGTATTATTATTGGGGATATGAATTTGAATATCAACAACGATATAGACGTAGTTTCTGATTACATAAACCACATGAGTGAATATAACTTTATCTCCATGATAAACAGAAATACCAGAATACAAAAAGAGTCAAAGACAAAAATGAATGAAATAAAAATTCCATATCAATGTTGTTCAGGACTACCTGAAAAACAAAATTTCCCAAAACTGAAACCTCTGAAGTTAAATAAAATGAATGCTGATGATTTAAATACAGCTCAATTCCAATTAAATGAATATTCTGATCAATTAGATAAATTGATTAATGAACCTTTCGTCTCAAAATATATTTCATGGATTACCTATGTAACAATTGCTCTTGTAATCTTTTTGATTATATTATATTGTTTTTGTGAATGTAAAAATAATAGAAATGTGAGAATTGGTATTATGACATCAAGAAATGATGGACCACCACCTCCAGCACCAAGTACGCGAAGTAAATTCAGAGCTATAACCAGATTCTTCCCCAGAAGAAGACCTAGCTATCATATTGGAGAACCCGTCGAAGAAGAAATCGAACTCAACTCAAATTCTAACAAGAATTATGCCTGAAAAGTTGCTGCAAGGTATAGCATCAACTTTTTCATAAAAAGGGGAGCTGTTATATGAAATTATACAATGGCTCATTATCCAGAACTACGTCGTATTAATGGCGCAGTTATAGAAGAACCTTGAAATCAGCAAAGACTCAGCATTTCCTGTTTACCAGTCTAGAAATAGAACACAAAGGACTTCCAGTGGGAATTACCTATGAAAGCAGGCAAGACCCGAAGCCAGCGTTCATAAGTTATTACTACTTGTATAATTCACTTCAGCTCATGAAGTTCAATAATTGTATTTGTGATCAAGAATGAATTGTGTTTTTAAAAAGCTTATATTTGAAAACCATACATATGTATATCAAAAGTGAAAAGTTGTAGAGCAATATTGAACAAACCTACATTCCTAATAAGAATAATGAAATCAGAATACCTTTATTAGCAATTGAAGTTCTTCGTGAAAGATTG